TTCTTTTGGAAAAAAGTTTTGTAAGTAGTGATTTTTTGAAATTTTATTTTTCAAATTGTTGGGATAATAAATTCATATGTATTTGACTCACAACTTGTAAGCCTAAAAGCGCGCAGATAGCTTGCTTGGCTTTGATGCTAAAAGATTGGCTGAATTAATTTTTTGCTTGCTTCATAGATCACTCAGTATTATATAATGCCTCGGAATGGGAATGGGGTGTTATCAAAAATCAGCTCATTGTAAAGAAAAGATAAAGATCATTATCATTTTGGAAAGCATAAAAAGAACGAATTGACTATCCATCTAATCACCAAAAAAGTATAACTTCAAAAATTATTTCCGAATGGATCAAATTGAATTTCAGATGACGGTCATTTTTACGGTTCTGCCTTCTTCCCTATCAAAGGATCTCCACTTTACATTTTCAACTCTCATGCAAACATTCTTCGCTCTCAATATTGCAGCAACCGAGTTTTGACTTCGTATCCAACACTTAGTTTGATTAATCAGCACCATATCATTTTGCTTTCAGTTCAACTAGTAGTCTTTTCAAGGAAAAATTAAACTCTCAGTTCTCGTGCCAGAACGACATCCACGAAGTTCGACAGTATTGTAAAGGGAACGTGCAATTCTTGTCATGCTGATATTAAGTCCATTAAGTCATTTTTAAGTCCATTATTATTTGATAAAGTTTCCACCTGAAACCAAAGCTCTTCTTTTAATATTTAATTGGCGTAACATTTGGGGGTTTAATTGGACAAAAGTAGATTGCGAAAAATTGAGGTAAGTTGTCTGCAAACTTTACAAATTAAAGTGCATCCATGTTTTTTCCATCTTGAATTGACGCCAGCTGATTGCCCTCAAGTATCACCACAATCATCCAAATTTATCTCATTTAATTATTTTAAGGCTTTGAAGTGCTAAAAAATCAACAAAATTTCTTTAAAACACTCTCAATCTGATAAGATCTGTCTTGTTTAATTTTTAGTCGACAAGTTGCGTTCTCAATTGGATTCACCGCTTGCGCATGTTATAAGACCGCAATATAAAAACAATTTTTAGTGCCCAGTTTTTGTCTTATAAACAAGCACAGATGTATATATTTTCAAATTAAGCTATTTTAGCTATTGGACGGATAGTGATAGTCACCTGATAGTCAAAATTGATAAGGATCTAAATATTTTTTTTAAAGGAAATTGCCCGCACTGACAAAAATGGATTAGGATCGATTTTAGTATAAAAAAAGTATGTTGTATAACTTTAGATCGGTTTTAGTATGAAAAAAGTACAAAGGTTGAATGCAAAAGATAAAGATTGATTTGGATTGTTTTAAAATCAATTTAAATTGATCTTAAATCCCAGCTACAAAAATTGATTCAAATCGGTTTTAAATAGATTTAAATCCATTTTTCTAGTCCTTTTTATTTTTATTTTTCAGGGAATCAAAACGGATTTAAATCAATTTAAATCATTTTTTTTCATTCGATTTTCATCACTTTTGAATTTTTATTGCATTTATTCATTGCGTATCATTTTTTGTTCTAGACTTATAGCGTATTGTAGCATAAAAAAGACCAAATAAAAAGACAAGAATATCGATAAAGTTCTTACATTTCCTTACATATTTTGAGTTAAAAAACTGATCTATTTTGACCCTTTTTTCTATTCGTTTCATAAGTTTTTGCTCAAAATGTTAAGCTATGTAATTTTCTATGATTTAGCTTATTGTTGAGATCAAAATTTACTTTATTTTGACCCTTTTCTTTGTTACATTGAATTATGCCCATAATCTGATTAACAAAGGCTTTCTATAATTTCATTGCATATTTTCGAGCTTAAATCTGATTTACGTGAATCATTTTATTGAACTCATAACCTCCGGCACGTGTGTTTGCATTTTTTTTAAATCGAGAAAAAATTATTTCAATTTTTTTTCTAAATAGTGTTTTTTTGTCGTGTTAGCAAAAAAAATGATTTTGGTGAGTCTGAAAATCCATTCCAATCGATTTAAATAGAATTTTAAGACACTTAAATTGATCCAATATTTTCAGGAAAGATCAATTCAAATCAATTTAAAATGGATTTAAGTGAGTTTCGGATGCAATTTAGTGACTGCACCTCTTTTTCTGGTATTTTTGGGGAAGCGCCCTCTCCCACTTAGGGATTACTTAGGGATTCATCAGCGGATTCATCGGAATCATCAAACTAAAACAACGATTGTCAAAAAAAATGTTAACAAGTGACACTCTATTTTTTTTGTTTGCCTAATTCTTTCGTGCTTCATTTTTTCTTCAGTTTTTGCGTTCATTTTTGTGTTTCATTTTTGCTCTGCCTGATTAGCTGAATTTACAAGTTAGAAAAATTTGGTACTCTGAATTTTTTTGCCAAAATTTACAAACTTATCACTTTTGTTATAATATTTGTGTTTTTGTCATTTTTGTTTGGGTCTTTGTCATTTTTGTTTGGTTACGAACACATCCCAAAAGCTTGAGAAGAGAATGTTTTTTAAAATTACACTTGGAAACTAGCATGGAAAAATGCTAGTTTTCTCATGGAAACTAGTTTTTTCATGGAAACTAGCATAGAAAAATTTAAACTTTATATTTTCCTTTCAGCAAAACTCACCTATCGTAGACTTTTCATCCAGTTTTTTATCATTTTGAAATTTCATGAAATGTATATGATGAGCAAAAATTCATAAATGAAAAACATTAGGTATATCTCAGATTTCTTACCAACCCAGTCTTGCATGTGGTAGGATGACAGTGAAAAGGTATGTATTTTTGATTTTGATTTAGAATTTTAGAGTGATATCGGCTTTTAAGCTTCAGACTACAAAACAAAAGCCAGCAGATATGTTGAATTTTGAGCAATTTTATTTTTTTCAGAGTGAATTTTTCTGTTCTTTTCAGCAATTAAATCTGAAATGAACTGAAAGAAATTGTCGTTTTTTTCCAAAAAAATTAAGCGGAATTTTTTCTGGAATTTTTTTCTTCAAAAAAGTCAAAACATAGTTTTTGTGTGCCTTTAAAACGTTTTTTGTCACCGATTAAAGATTTTCACTTCGTCGATCAACACTCATTCAGTAACAATTTTGGATTAGTTCTGTTTCAGATTCTAACGCTTTAATTTTTCCCGATTAGATTTGAAAAAAGAACTTTGAATTCAGTCTGATTTTTTTTTACTAAAAAAAGTATGAAATTTTCCGGCAACGTTTTCCAATAAAACATTCGAAAAATCTAAAATTCTCTCTGATTTTGTGTGTAGGGTTTAGAAATAATAATTTGATTTGCAGTTATTTTGAATCGGACCTGACTTTTTCTTCTGAAAAACAATTCTCCATAGAATTAAAGTTTATGTATTTGCTTTAATTCAAATAGCGACAAGCAAAATTTCGGAAACAGTCTTGAAAAAAGCAGAAAACTGAAATATTGAATTGTTCTTCTACAGACTAGGAGGCCAAGCTAGAGAGAGAGAGTACATTGTAGTTATGTTTTAGAATGTGTAGTACTGATGCATGATGAAATGCATAAATTTCGTAATTTCAAAAATTGGGTTTAAATCAAAACCCCAGTGGTTTGGTTTCTCTCTTAATATAAGAGATTAGCCGTTTGTTTGTTTCTTCAATTGAACTTTATGTCAAATTTTGAAGGGTTATTTTTTGAAGGGATACGCTGACGCCGGATAATTTCTTGCAAACTTTTTGTCTCTCAGGTTTGACAGGTTAGTTTTTGAGAATAGTAAATAAAATCCAAGAAAAAAACAGTCTAAAACGCAAAAACGGGTCAATTTCTAAAACTTTTTTTGATTAAATAAATTTGAGAGCAGCAGCTTATGCAATTGACTTTCACATTACTTTCATTTGAGCCCATGAACTATAACATGGCAGGGTGAACAAAAATCCAAATACCCAAAACTCCCAAAGACCTTTTTTCACAAACGTAAAAAGTGTAGCCAGGTGTAGCAAGAGATTAAAAGAAAGTAGCCGGTAGCCGATCGTTCCATAGGTACTACTTTTTTATATTTTGAAAATTGGGCAATTGTTCATGAGAAACGTTTTTATTTTCAAAATACTTGTTGTTTTTTAAGCAGGATTTTTAAAAAACGATCTCGCAAAAATAGGCCCCTTTTATACTACTCCAATACCCATTTATTACTTTTTTTAGGTGTCTATGATACAAAATTATATTATAATTGAGGAAAAAGTACTCGTCTAACAGCGCAATTTTCTTGTCAATTTTTTTTTCAAAAACGCACAAAAACGGCATTTTGGCTATTTTTAGTCTTGAAGGACGAAATTATTAGGGGCGAAATGTCTGAGGGGCGAAATGTACGACTAGATTTAGGAGGGGTGACATGTGTGTGGGGCGAAACGTGGGACATTCCTCAACGAGACCTAACTTTGCCGGGTGGATAGAAAGTGTGAAAGAAACAACGATGACTTAATGTTGTATATGATGATGTATATGTCAATTATCAACTAACTAGCAAATATTTCAAATGGGACCGCGCGCTCGTTTCATTTGTGGGAGCTTCCAATCTCATGCAACCAAGAGTTCTCTAGATCGAAACTAGGAAGGATTCAACTGTCATTACATTTGAGCTAAACTTTAAAAAAAATTGATGCTGAAACTTTTTTCTGTTTGAATAATAATTATTTCAATTGTGTACTTGACCATTACATGAAAAAATAGGTTTTTTGGGAGAGATTTTGGGGAAAATTATAGCTTCATAAAAAAATTTAGCTACAAACTTTTTTAAAGAAAATCTGATTTTGGTTGCATTGCGAACGAAGCAGCCCCATTTCATATATACACAAATATCTAAGATAGGATCTCCATTTAGAATAGTTAGACAATTAGTAATAAACTATTCTTTTTCTGTACTAGAAGCTAGATGTACGAATGATCTGTCTCATTCAACTATAGGTCCAAAAAGCATTTCCGAGAAAAGTTGTTGTCCTCCTTTTTCCGATCACGTGATTCTGTTCTTCTTACAAACTACATATTGGATCTTCGGTTCCGGTTGTCGTAGGGGTAAACAGCACTAGCAGCGATAATACGTTCACGCTCACGCTCACGTTCACGCTCATGCTCACGCTCACGCTCGAGTTTCTCTTGTAGCTCAAGCTGTGCTCGCTCCGTTAATAGCCGGTTATTCGTCTTCCGTTCTGCTTCAGTCGGGAAGAGATACTTGTTGGCCAGTTCGAACATACCCGATACGACTACAAGTTTGATTCCACTGCAGCCTTCAGATGACGGGAGGTCTTCCATCGGGTATCCCCGAAGTCCCTCGTCGATGTCTAGGAGTTCGCATTTGTCGGTGGTGTAGTCGTTGCCATACCCTCCGACTACAATGAGTCGATTGTTGAGGGCGATCAGACCCATGTTGCTTCTGGGATTGGTCATCCTGGCTATTTCCTGCCACTCTTTCGACTTCGGCATGTACCTACAGAGATAATTAGTTTAAAGTCTCGAGAGATTAATTAATGAAATGTAGCAAAAAATAGCTGGAAAAGTTTCAACGATTTCAGATAGAGTTTTATTTTAAGAAAAAAATTCATATCGAGGCTTCATCAGTTTAAAGATAATTTCGACTTTTTAGACAGAGACTTTTAAGCATAGCTAACTAGTAAAATTTACATGGAAATTTTTCAAAAATTAAACTTGAGCAAGCATTTGGTAATTTTTTCTTTAATAGGACAACTATCAGACCGGTTGTCTTCGATATTTAGAAAATTTCTTATAATTTTTTTAGTAATTACCGTTTTACTCAATACTAAAGACTTTAATATGATATTTTTTGGCCCATCCTGATGATCTTGTGTCGCATCTGATTTTGCGAGGAAAACATAATAAATGAAACACACCGAAAGACAAAGTTTCTCCCCATTTCAAGGGTCGGAACAAAAATCATTCCGTATTTGTTTTTAAAGAGCATTATTTTTCTGTCTTTCCAGTTTCTCCGACAATAAGAAACAAGCAAAATCACACAAGAGTCGCGTTTTGTTCCAAAGGCTCTCAAAATGTGTCAAAGTCTCTCAAAATATTCTAAAGTGCCAATGAACAAAACAATATAAACATTCATCTACGTTGTCAGTTTTTTTTAATCAAAAAGTCTGAATCATTTTTCGCGCACATATTTGACTTTTGATTTCTGAACGCATAAATTTTGCTGAAAATTGACAGAGTGCGATTTGATATTCGTTTTCTCTGTTAGACTTTTTGGCAAATTTTCCATGGTCAAAATAGATTTTAATTAAAAAAAAAAAAAACGATTTTTTTCCATAAGTTTTTAGCGAGCTAAATATGAGACCAATTGAGCCATCTCCCCCATTCTTGCATGGGGGGATGATGGAGATCGTTCAATAGGTACTTAAGACATGTTTTGTTCCTCATTCCCCCACCTCACATATGCATCAGTTTTATGTTGTAACGAGGGGTTTTACAAGATTAAATTTGAAGACCAAATATGTTTGTCATGGCCTAATTAGTGTGCATACAAATTTGTAGCAATTAGATAATGTGATCGAAATTTTACTAGTAAAATTTCCCTGGAGGGAGGGGGAGGAAAAAGAGCCTATGTTTATAACCACTTGCAAATAGTTTGATTGATAAGAAATCATGAACCAGATTCTCGAACGGGCTCTTTTTCCTTTACCCCCCACCTCACATAAGCACCAACTTTATGGTGTAACGAGGGGTTTTACATACAAGGTTAAACATGAAGACCAAATATGTTTGTCTTGGCTTTATTAGTTCGCATGCCAATTTTCGTAACATTCGGAAGATGTGAACAAAATTTCACATGTAAAATTTTGCAGGTGGGGGGAGAGCCCTCGAACAAATGTCGAACCCCAAAATTTACAATATCAAACATCAAAAAAACATCCTTAGTGAAAAAAGAATCAATAAAACAGGCACATAGAGCGACTTTTTTCTTTCTTGAAAAAAAAAATAATTATTATGGTGCTACAGAGAATAGCTTTTGGTATCCATTCAGATACAAGGCTAGAGCATTAAACCTGGTAACTTGCTATCCTCGATTAGGCAACGATCGCCCAAACAAAAATTTGCAAAAAAAGTTCTAATAAATTCCGATTTTTATCTTTTTCAAAATATCTTTCGATACTCATATAAAATTAACTTCAGTCGATCAATTGATTGCGTGCTATGAACCCATCATCCATCTTCTTGCTTTTGCTTTTTTGTAACGCCTGACCGTTTTTGCTTAGGGGGAGGGAGATAGCTCAATTGGACCCTATGGGGGGGATAGAGATTTATCAATTGATCCTAAATATGTCAGTGTGACCGTGCGGACAAATTTTTAGGCCACTTTATATTATTGTTTTGAAATCACGGGGTGGTGGGAAACAGGAGAAGAACCAAAAAAACTCTACAATTACCTGACTTTATACAGCAATTAATCATAGTCTTCATAATAATGAATTATGTTTTAATCCCAACCTACTTACTAAAAATTTATAGCCCCCACTGTGATTTTACCTATTTGGAACTATTATTTGGTAGGGAGGTTGTCATTGGAATTACTTCAAAACCTAATATACAATGAGCAGCATTTCGAATGGCTGCTTGAAAAGTTTTATACAGTTTTGAGGTGCGGTTACTTTTCAGAATTGTATGGAATTGTGTTTTTCAAGGTGGGATTGGTGAATACCGTTCGATGGAGTCCAGCTGTATCTCCCCATTGTAGCCCCCGACAGCGTATATGATGCCATTGAACACCTCGCAGGACACCCCACTGCGCCTGCTCTTCATGCTGCTCACTTTGAACCAGTTGTTGTAGTCCTCCTTATACGGCAACACACCTGCACCACACCACACACAACACACTAACCTTCAGCTTTAACTTTCAGCCGTAACCTTCAACTTTACCTTCAACCTGCTCCCAACAACCCCTCAGCGCCCCCTTGCAGATTCATGAAATAATAATGATTTGACAAAAACCAATAATCGGATCGAGAACATTCGGTATCGTCACATTTTTCAGACCTGAATTTGTTTTTTGCCAGTTTTCACCACGAAAATAGAATTTAAAGAACTTCATTTCGAAAATTGCCATTTCCAGGCTTTCTCTTTATAGAAGAAAAACGACCAGGGTTTTTGCCTGGTGGAAGCATTTTCACAATTGACTGGATCGAGAAAAAAAAGCGCAACTGGTGTAAGCAATTGAAACTAACTGAAAGTTTTTTGAATGATGGTATGTTCACTGAATCGAGATCAAAGTAAAATATCGCCAACCAGAGACGTATAACGGGTTTTCGGAACGGATACAACCAAGTACGGTTATAGAAAATTTGTCGACCTCTTTCAAGCTGTTCAAACTGGTTTTGTGAGCTCTTCAAAAGCACTATAAAAATTTATTCGGCCAAAAAAAATCTACCATAGAAGCAAGAAACAGAAATTGGCCATTTTTTGGCTGCTTTTAAAACGTTTTGATCTCAAAGCGATTTTTGTGGCACGTGATTCCCCATATCTGCCCCTGAGTTGAACAAATTTCTCAGTCAAGCAAAGCTGAATTAAAACGCACATACTTCTGAACAGTCGCTGCGCTCGATTAAGTAGTTCAAGATTAGGTAGTGCACCCACCTGGATGTATGGCCTCGACTGAGTTGTGTATGGTCTCCCCCGTGAAGCCCCCGATGCAGTAGATGAAGTCCTCACACACCACTGCACCCGCATCTGACCTCACGTAATTCATGTCACAACATCGAGTCCATCTGTCTTTCACCGGACAGTACCTGTAGGGAATGAGAGAATAAAAACTAACCCATGAAGGCCTAATGTTCAGATGAAGTTCAGTAGAAATTGTTAACTGTTGTATTCATCTCGAGCAGGTTTGTCTGTCCAACAAAACATAAGGTTTTTATCTATTTTTCTAGCTGGCATCAAATGGTGTTTCATGCTCACTTGGTGAGTGAAAACCTTGCCGACGTTGACACCTTTCCAGTTTTATTCATCTATGTCAAGGCATGAAAAACAGTAAAATTTATGCTTTTTTCATTAGCCTTTCAGGATAATAAATTTCTGTTTTTTTTTTCAAATTTAGACGGATGTCGACGCCTGCCACTCACATTTCGACGGATTTGAACCTCTTGCCGGTGTACTCGATGTTGTAGGAGGAGTGGTCTATGTGTTCATCGTATCCACCCATCACTATGATCTTCCCATCATAGACCACAGAGGAGGCGTAGCACCTCGCCTCAAACATCGGCTCCTTCTCCGTCCACTTCTCACCTAAGTCACAGTCAGATGGCTAGTAAATTTAAGTAAGTCATAGAATTAGAACTCAAGTCAATATTATTTCAATACACTTTGCGCAAAAACTTCATCATAAAAAAGCGGTGTGATTGAAAAAAGTGGTGTGAATGTAAGAAATTTCATTCTCAAGCTTGTTTTTGTAATTAGCACAAAAATGCAGGATAATTGTTCTCGACACAGAGAATTTTCTAAAATATTTTTTTTCTTCCAAAATCCAAGTTTTTTTGGGCTTCTTAAATTACACTGAAAATCTCATACAATCTAAAAGTTCTTTCCCATTCCGTGAGTGTCTACAATCATAAAAACGTATTCGGCAAACTCACTTATGGGATCGAATGCCCACGTGCTTCTGAGGCCCCTAGACTCGTTGTCGAAACCTCCGATGATGTATATGATTCCGTCAATGGCGGCTGCCGCGTAATAGATGCGCATCTGGGGCAGTTTCCGCTTCGTAATTGTCCATTGGTAAGTAATCGGATTCAAAACCTATTGGAACAGTTTTTAATAGTTTTTCTTAAATTGAGATTTCTCAACTATTGCAACAACTTTAATAATATGTTCTCATATGTTCAACGGCTCTCAAGCTTGACTTTTAATTTCATAAACATAGCAAACAGACAGTTGGAAAAAAACCAATGAACGAATGAAACAGAAAAGACAATTTGACTTTGTGAGAAAACTGGATCAATGGATAATTTTTTCATTTCGCTGGGAAATCTCAAAAATCATTCCTCTTTCAAAACTAGAAGCCTTTCTTGTTTTTTCGCTCCAAGTACGCTTTCGTATTTGGAGAACGCATTTTTTGCGAATGAAGTTGAACTGAACTGAAAAATTGCACATAAAACTAAGAGCGTTCATAAAAGCATTATTATGTATACATGCACTTTCTGTAGTCATTAGAGCATTTCAGGACTTTTCCTGAAAAAATTGTCACGACCTATATAAGAATCTAAACTACTTTAATTGAAAGAAAAGTATAGTTAAAAAGGTCGCCCGCACCTAGCAAAAAGTTGCAAACCAGATCTGAGCATTTTAAAAAGTTGCATATTTCAGATCGTGTCAAGAAATGATGCAAATTTCGTTCAGACAGACATGTCCCAATCAGGACTGAGGCAGGTATGGATTCGGTCACAAGTTCAGACCTGATCAAGGCCTGATTCAGACCTGGAACATACATGGGTCAGATCCACTCAGATCTGACTCAGATGTCCGCAGATCTGACCCATGAATGTTCCAGGTCTGAATCAGGCCTTGAGCAGTTCTGAATTTGTGACAAAATCCATGCCTGCCTCATTCCTGATTCAGACATGTCCATGTCCAAACAAAACATGCACCATTGTCTGGACAAGATCTGAAATAGACAAATTTTTAAGACGCTCAGATCTGGTTTCCAAGTGTTTCGATTTGGATGGATTTTCGACGCTCAGATCTGGTTTTCAAGTGTTTTGATTTGAATGGATTTTCGACTCACTAAAATCCAACCGAATTGCACTTAAATCCGTCTGAATTTCTTACAAGTTCTTTGAGCAGATCAATTCAAGGGTCTAAAAAATCAATTTTTAATCATTTTTTTTTTTGCTAAATAGTCGTAAAAAGCAGGCTATTAAAAAGAATTATTGAAATGCTTTATTTACAATTTATTAAACAATAAAACGTGCCAGATGTTATAGAATTCAAGAAAATAGTCCACATGAATTAGATTTTGAGCTCATAGCAATGAGACCATAGAAAATTATCATTTTATATCAGGTATTGTGTAAAAATTCTTGGTAAAAACATTTCTAGAGGCCTTGGGGAATCTATTTTGTAATATCAGAAAAAATTTGAAAAATTTCGCAGGTTTTTATTTTCAGCCAACTGACCTTTCAGCCTAGAGTTTTTACAATTACTTTAGTCAAAAGCTCTACGTCTGTAGAATTTATTCACACACGTGCTTATCAGAAACGGAAAAAATGGTGTAGTTTTTAACGAAAAAAAAAAACAAAACACGTATGAAAACTTGAAAATTCGAAGTTTTCAAAAATAAAAATTATTGCTTGTTATTATTACTTCAACCAAAAAGGGTTTCTTAATAAGTAGTAAGTAGTTTAACTAGTTAAAACTAATGGATTAACACTGGCATATCTGTATTTTTTTCATTTCTGTAAAATTTTGTAATATGTATGTTGCAGCTCAGGACAGATATGCCGGGGGTGAAAACAGAATGAATTAACCGTGGGCATATCTGTATTTTTCTTTTAATTCTGTACGGGTGAGTTATTGTTTTTAATTTTCAGATGAACTAGTTTGGTTTTGAATTTACATGCCCTGCTTTTTTGACTTTATTGCATGTACCTAAGGGTGATTCGAAAAGAGTAACAAATATCAGTTCAAATATAATATATTGCATATGCATGTAGTGACCCACACATACTTGTATGACATTGGAGGGTTCCTTTCCACTCCAGCCTCCGAATACGAATATGAGTTCATTCATTGTCCTTGGTTGCAACATGCGGGAGAACCAGGCCCTCTCCATCGCCTCCTCGCTTCCACTCACCCACCAGTGCACCGTGCACTCCTTCACACACGAGTTCACGCCACACTTGCCACACTTATTCTTGTCACGATTCTAAACACGATTTTAAAAAAAAAAGAGAACACAAGAAACTAGCGTCATCGCGCTATGATTCAATCCTACTTGAACTATGATTTGATCCTGTACAACCCAGTGATTCAACTTCAGTTCCAACGAAAACTAAGTTCGACTTTCTCTGTACATCTTTCGACTATTTCAACCAAATCATAATTCGAGCACCTCGCCTCGTGAAAAGGTAAATAGTCAGGTAATTGGGATGACAATTTAGAACATTTATACGAGAATTTATTTTCGTGGAACCACAGGTTAAAAAAACGCTGAGGCTCAATTTTTTTTGGCTGTTTTTGCCAAAAAATAGATTATTCGAAAAAATCAATTTAAAGTCGTGTGTTGCAATTGAAAGGCGTTCAGTTCACAATAAAAAATCACAAAGAGAAGTTACGAGGTTTGAGGTAACCAGTATTGATTTATTTGGTTTTGGAAGCCCCAAGAGACAATTCCAAATTTGAGAAACAGTCGGTCGACCCTGAAGAAAAAAACATGAATTTAAACAGGAAATTTGCTCAGTGGAATGCACACACAGGTTAAATCTAATTCATTTTTATAGTTATGGCTATCAACTGAAAACTTTTGTCGTAAACATTTTGCTTTGCCTGATATTGTGTAATATCTGCCTTTTTTCATGTTAAAAGTCTCGTCTTTAAATTTAAAAAATACCCTAAAGCTCATTGACTTTCAAGAACAATTTATGCTGTTATTTTTCTAAAAAATAATAATTTGAGAAAACTGGATCAAATAGTAATGTTTTTACTCAGCAGTTGAAATTTGAAGTTTAAATTCGACTTTCGAAACTAGAAATCGATCACGTTTTTCGTGATCTTTACATTTTGCTGTTAAATTAAGGAGTTTGCCTACCTTTTAAAAAAGGGAAGAATCTGAACTTTCAAAAATCAATACTTAAACCGCGAAAAAATAAATTCAAGTGTGAAAATTTCCTAAAAAAACGAGTTGATACTCATATACAACTTTGAGACACTTCGCATAATACACAAAAATTTTGCTGATGTTCAATGGGTTGGCGTGGAGGTTGGGGGAGTGGGGTTTGTGAGAGTTACAGCAAGAAAGGATCACTTTCAACTCACCACTATCTTCATGGCCTTGCATTGGACTGTGCGACTACGCTCAGTGCAGCTCATGTGGCTCTTGAGCACAGACACAACCTTCTTGTCTATTGTATCCTGGACGGCACACAGCCTCGGATCCATCACTATCTTCTGCACATCCTTCACAATGGTGTCAAACTTGGCAATCAGGTTCTTGAAACCAATCCTGCGGCAGGCCCACTCACAATTATACCACTCAATTACTTCCCACAAAAATTAAGTATTGTATCTATTAAGAAAAAGAAAAGAATAAAAATTGGGGGACAGGTTATTTTATACCCGTAATTAATCTTAGTATGAGAAAAATCGAATCAATCTAAACGTGACTGTGCTTCCTTGATAAATTAAAATGACACAAATAGCGAAAAAAAACATAGGTTTAGCAAAAAAGAAGTTGCACTTAATTCACGTTATTTAAAGGCAGAAAATGGGTTTAATATTAAATCGTAAGAGTTACACTGGTAACTTTTTGAATAAAACTGGTGTTTAAAAAGCTCAAAAATTATTGTTTCACGATTTCATGAATGACCCTGACTTGAAGTCCGCCAATTGTTCCGAGTAACATTTATCAAAGTTCTCACGTCTCGGGTACTTGTAGCGAAGCGAAAATAACAGCCAAGAAGCCGGCGTAATGCGACCGCTGTAATCTTGACTTGCCCATCTGCAAATCACAGCTAAAAGATCTTTCTCACTTTGACAATTAATTTCCTGGAAATTCAAGAGATCTTCCACATCCGCGTCGCTTAAGGCTCTAAACTCTGCGCGGTGAGAGTACTCAATAATAGACTGACAAATAAACTTCTTGCAAAACTCGATAAGTTCGAATAAGTTGAAATAATTTGCAAATTGATAGACTTTAAAGACATTCTTAGGTGTAGTCATGGCCGCTCTTCGTTTTGTCAGCTTACTAACGAGGGTCCGAATGCCGAAATAGTCTGCGAGTACCAACAGTTCGTCAATGTTCTGCTCTGTTGTTTCGACTTGCTGGCCGTAAACCTCTCTGAGAAGAGGCGCGATTTCCTCATGACTCAAGTCTGTGAAATGCACTCGGTTAAGTTTACTTTCGACAAAATCACCGCTGAAAAGACTGTAAAAATAAGAGCTGCAGTGCCCCAACACACATCGATGCACCTCGACTGTCCAAAGGTCACTAGTGACAATGCTGAAGTCGCTGAAGCTCTTCCGATTCTGCTGGTTCTGTTGGGGGTCGGAAGAAACGATGACGCTACTGCTATTACTGCTGTGATCACCAGCTGTGCTTGGAAAGTGAAGGTTGACGACCTTTGACGATGGCGGCTGGGGAGTCAATTTGTCCCTATTGTTGATGTTGTGAGACTGACCTTGAACCCGTTGACCTTCAGACAAAAGGTCGAATCGAAGATCCATCATTCATTATTAGGAATAATTTTTCCTCGTGCGACAACAAAAATGCGTGTTAAATGAACTTTGTAGATAACGAAGATGACTTTTACTGAAATTGACAATTTAATCACGCTCTCTTCGAATTGATTCCGAAAATTGCCGCGCGTTTTGAGACTAAGCAAGATTCGATCAAAAAGTCGCTGCTTTATAATCTCCATACAAAGCCATCCGCTTCTTTGTTTTTCTCCTTCGAAAAACAAAACGTTCATTATGTGAATAACTTAATAATCTCAAAAATATAACGGAATCATTAATCAGATGTTCCAAACATATACTTCATAAAATTAACCGGTACTCCATCATATAAACCCATAAAGTCCAGTTTTTCTCATCGCATTCGAACTTTGTAGTTACAGATAGCACGTTTTAAAATTTTTTTTTTTTCAATTTTTTAAGGCATATAACTGCCCGAGTACCTGTTAAGCACGTCTTGTGTGTGTGTTTATCAAGTATTATCTTGACTAAACTGGTGCTGTTGTGGGCCTCTCTTTGCGTCTCTCTTTCAAGAGGGGGGTCATAGACGGGACATGCCGGGTTACGCCAACGCACTGGCCAGGTACTTCAGCAGTCTCTTCGGCGGAGGGGGGCAGAATGGGGGGCAGAAGCTGCAGAAGAACGGGGAGACGAACGGGTCAAATATCAGTGTCCGCAAACGGTCAGGCGCAAACAGGTGTGTATTTAAGTATGCAGTATATCTTTTTTACAGTATATCAACCCTCGTAAAAATACAACAAACAATTATTGAAAAATTGTTCATTCGACAATTTGCATGACAGAAATGTAATTTGGGCCCCCCCTTGATTTTTTTTGGAAATTTAATATGTGAAAACGTATTAAAAATGACTTTTCATTTTATTAATTGCATTAAAACGTGTCAGCGTGAACAGGCGAACAAATTTTCACAACATTTCTCACTTGCAAAATGCCGTGTGAACAAGCTTTATTATGAAATTTTACGAGGGGGTGGGAAATAGGAAAGAGCCGTAATTTGTTCACTTGTTGACGCTTGCATGCACGTTTTGTCAGAATTAAAATGTCAAAATTCATTTCGAAATTACTTTTGTACATTGAGTTTCAGAAAAAAAACCGTCGCCTTTCCTCTTTCCCTACCATTTCTAGCAGAATTTTAGCATTATAATAATGTTAAAAAATTTCTTCGAATTTGAGTTTCATATGTTGTGGGAAAATTGGAAAAGAGCCAAAAGATCAGTATTTAGTGATGTTCTACGTGTAAGGTGAAATCAAAGAAAAAGGCAGTGGGAAGTTTCAAATTTTTGGCACTTTTCCACTCCTAAAATTTTTGTTTTTATTGTTTTTTACTTGTAATTATGGCTCAACGCGGTAAGTTTTCATTTAGGGTAGGAAGAGAAAATTTGCTCACAATAGTTAGTTTTTAAGTAAGGTTCATTGCACTATTATAATGTTAAAATATTTAATCGAATTTGAGTTTCTACCTGTGGTTCAACCAAAAGAATTGATTAAGGAAAGCTCTGTGTAAGCGGCTACGCTCAAGTTTTCTCTCACAAAAAGTAAAATTTTCTATTTATTTATATTTTTTTGGAACTAGTTGATTTTTCTCAAAAACTGCCCTTCCAAATCTGAGGTTTAAGGTGAAATCAAAGAAAAGGGTTGTGGGAAGTTTCACTGCTTGAGTGGCTGCGTCTATTTTTCTACGCAAATTTGTATGGCCCTCGAAACAATCAAAATTTTGATTTTTTTTCACTGTGGGTTTTATTATTTTTTGAATATTCTCGAAAAATATCCTCTCTGATCTGAGGTTTTGGGATGAAAAAAATGTGCTCTGGAACGCTCCCTTGAAAAGCATTTGATTTTATGATAGTTTTTTGACACTTTTCCTTATTTCTTTAAAACAGGGCTCCCAAATCTAAGATTTTGGAATTAATTGAACGAACGGATTGTTCGGAGATCTCCTTTCCAAGCGGCACACCAAGTTTCTTACACAAAAATCATGAGACTCGGAAATCTCAAATTATTAATTTTTTGGCTCTTTTCCAGATTCCCCCCTTTCAAAATACCGAGTTTTATGTTTGTTTTACGTGTTATTACGGCTAAATGCGTGATGTTACGCTGTAAAGTATGAAGAACAAATTTGTTCACAATTGTCGATTTGTTCACTACACCAAATTTCATTGCAATATGTCAATGTTAAATAAGCTTTTCAAAATTGAATTTGAAAGGGGGGAACTGGAAAAGAGCCAATTTTTTGACTGTTTTTTTGACCTTTTGCTGATTCTTCTCAAAACTACTACATTCCAAATCCCCCCCCCCCGCCTCACACGAGCTTCAATATATTAGTGTAACGAGTGGTTTTATGAGGATGAGTATGAAGAACAAATATGTTTGTCGTGGCCTTATTTGTCTCTATGCAAATTTTCATAACAATCGGACAATGTGGTCAACATTCTTACATGTAGGAAAAAGAGCCGCTTCTTTGAGTTAGCGACTAGACTTTAAGTTCCTTTGGAAAAAAGTGATAGACTTCGAAAAGTCAAATTGATGAATATTAAACCATTTTAAATTTTTTTTGATTTCATTAAATACTAGCCGGCCATTTCTCAGATTATTTAAATAGTTATTAAACATAAAAAATAGTTTTTATTTCTTGTTATAACTTAAATAACTAGTTATAAATTAGTTATGTAAGTTCTTGGAAAAGTCCATAGCAAAAATCCAATGTATGAAAGTTAACCATTTTCTTCAACGATAGCAACAATTTTTTTCTGTTTTTTTTTAAACATAACCGGCTAACTTTGAGATTTAGAGTTTATTCGAAAAAAGTTATGGGTGTCTTCCCAGCATAAACAGCTCCACAGCAGATGAAATTGTTCGAAGATAAATTTTTATGAGCTTAGGACAAATCAAAATTTGTAGAGGCTTTTGGTTCTTTTGAGAGAACATGGTGCAAAACGTTTCTCTGCATACACGCTTACAATCTTGTTACTGTAGAAAACCTGATATGGCCTCAGGAAGTATCTGGTGTTTGAAGTTTTTAATTTTGAAGTGAAAAATCTCATTTTTAAAAAACAGCTCTGCCAAATTTCATACTGAGTTCAGTTTAAAAACCGGCAGTAGGCACAATTCTTGTCTCCCCTATGTAGTCTGCTACACCCCGATTTTATAAGAGAAACCACTAAAGTTTTGGGTACATTCCAATGTTTGAATTATCGAAACTTCCACATTTCATCCTGCGTTAAATCAGCAAAATCTAAAGACTGGTTCCCTAGCTTACGTATAAAACATTGCATAAGGAGGGAACGATAGATGAGCCGTGAACAGGAGTTTCATTATAAAAGTTTGCAAATGGTGGAAAGAAAAAAGAGCCCAAAAAATCTCTTCTCGAAATTCCCCCCTAGAAAAGCCTCTTTTAAACGAATTTTGTTGTTCTGATTTGAATAAAACATGTCTGTTTGAACATATTTGTTCAAATTTTCGCTCACGTTTGCAAACTACCGTGTAACATTTTTTGAATCGCTTCCTCTGTGCATATCTTGCAAGATTTTAATAGGAGCTTGTGGGAACTTTTTCATCTTGCTTATCTTCTGCAAGAATCTGGCAAGTTTCATATTGATTTTGCAAATTTCTTGAAAAACTTGCAATTCTTTTGTAGAAAATTAATAAGATTTTGCTTTCTACTGGGCAAAAAAGGCTCTTTTACTCCCCCCCCCCCCCCCTCACGTGCCCAATTTTAGATATTAAACGTTGTAACGACTAGTTCTACGAAATTGTTAATGACAATTGAATTTAGCGGACAAAATAGAAACACAGAAAATGGTATCTTGTCTTGGGGGGGGGGGGGGGTAGAAGAAGAGTTAATTAAATTAAGATCATTTATCCACGGGGGAAAGGACCAACACAAGAGCTGTACAGCTCATCACGGCGAACCGCTGTTGTGCCCCTGCTTAAGAACTACATGCAATTTTTTTTGGTTATTTTTTCTGGGCTGGGTAATGTTGCTTCACCCTCAAGCAACGAGCACGGATCATGGTGGCCCTCGAACATCCGACCTTTCGATTGAGAGGCGGAGACGTAACCACTTCACCACCGCTCACCGAGTTGAACACAAACTTACTATTAAGAACACATTTTTTCAAATAGTTCGTAACATAAAGAGTTCAGTCATAATAACACTCAAAACAATTATAAAACTCATCACCTCTCTTTCTGAAACTGCTTTTTTTCAACTAAAATTTGCTCATTTTCCAATTTACTTGGAACTTGATTCAGGTCTGGAAGCAGTTTCGCCACAGCCAGTCAGGGTGACGCCGCTTATTACGGAGACGGGGGTTCATCTCCTACTGGGGGTAACGGAAGCAGTGGTGGTCAGGGTGGGGGCAAGTCGCAAAAGAAGAAGCAGCTTCTCTCCTCGGCCAATCGCAGTCACTCACAGAATGATAGGACAGTTACAGGGACGGGGGCGGGCACAACTCCAGTAAACAAAGCACAGCAGCCGCATCTACCTCAAGTCCCATTCCAGGGCTAGTGTCTTTTCCTCAAAAACCTAATAACTTTGTTTTCTTTGACTAAGAGGTTTTTAAAAATTGCTTCAATAAAACGTATAATAATGATAATATATTCATTACGAGGCCAAACTGTGCATTCTGTGCATTGTATGCGGATTCCACAACAGGCCAAAATCAGATTTGTTGTGGGGAATCCACATGGTTGCTACTTTTCTTTGATATTCTTTGTTGTTATGGATTCCACAAACAAATACTTAAAATACTGTTCCGCTCAAAATCGCTCCAAAAACAGACGATTTTACGGAATCCGCAACCGTATTTGCGGAATCCAAAACAGTTTTTGGAGTCCACAAACAAACAATAAGACATGTGTATATTTAAATTGAGCTGATGCGGAATCCGCAACTGTAAGCGGAATCCGCGAAGTGTAAGTGGGATCCGCATTTTGTTTGCAGGTTCCGTTTCCATTTATGTATAAATGTAGTAGCGCTTAAAGTTATATCTTTTAATTAGATGATTTCATTCCACTAAAATAAGTAATTACTAGATCAGTGTTTGGGATCGATGAAACCCCAAACACTGAACTAATTCGACGATTTGCTATGCGTTGGGTTTCTAATCACTCTCAGCCCAATGACTCCAAATATTGAATTTAATCCATATTAATTCCATAATATTCCAGTTTTTGGGTTTTGGGATTCCGTCAATCCCAAAAACTGACCAGTGTTTGGGATCGATAGAATCCGAGATACCGATCTAATTTGGCGATATGCTGTGTGTTGTATTTCTACATACTCTCAACTCAATGACTCCAAATTTTGAAATTATTCGGTGTTGTGTTTCCAAAACACTAAGAGATGACATGTTTTAAGACTTGCTGGTGGATTCCGCTAACAATGGTTAATTCATTGCTTTTAATTTCCGCATTGTAAGAGATAAGAATTCCAGCTCTAGCTTTTAATTGTTCATATGCAAGTTCAGTATTGAATCTACTCACAGTTTGCGGAATCGGGTTACGTTTGCGGATTCCGCTTAAATTTTGCGGAATCCACTTTTAATGGCGAAATCCAAAACAACTAGCTATATTCGCTTGTTGCGGAATCCGCGACAAAACAAATGTGCCGACAAAACAAATGTGCCGACAAAATTTACGTTACACTCAGGGAAGTTTTGTAAGTGGAATCCCCGTACATTTTGGAACATGTTTAAAGATTAGTTTTTGGAATCCAGGAACATACAGACACAAAATTGTGCGCCTATCCAGTGCACAGTTTGGCCTCGTAATGTTGTTTCCAAGTGAAGGTCGCGTGATGACTTCACTTGGAAACAATTTATCATGATTATTATTATAGACACCATCATTTGGCTATGCTCGAAATCAACAGTAAGACCAAATATAATACATTTGACGAGAACAAAATTTAGCTGAATAATTATACTTTCTAAAAATTGAGAGACTGTTTTTGTTTAAGTGTCGTAGTAAGAGGCGTAGTTCAGATGGTTTTTTTTTCAGAAAAAAGCTTTGAATGTTGTGCAGGCTCATATTAACTTTTTCGCTGTTTGACTTCTGATTTCTTTTGTAGCTTCAGTTCATTTTCTTTGTTGAAGAGAAGGCAAACTCCATTATCGAACAGCAAAAGTAAAAAGGTCGGATCAAGTGGGGGCTATTTTCCAGTCTCCTTCTTTGATTTTCTCTGAATATCAATATATGAAATCTAAATAAAATTATAAATTAAAATTATAAACTGCAATAAAACATGTCAGCGTGAACAGGTGAACAATCTTCTACAACATTTCTTGCATGCAAAATGCCGTGTGAATAGTTTTTGAAAAGTTTAATTTTATAAATTTTCGAGGGGGGTGGGAAAATGAAAAAGAGCCCAATTGAGCAATCTGCTCCCATTCTGTCATGTTGAGGGGGGGGGGGGGGAGATAGCTCAATAGGTGTTCAAGACATGTTTATAGCCATTTGAAAGTAGTTTGAATGATATAAAAGTTTGTACCTGATTCTCCAACGAATGTGGAACGCCAGAGTTTACAATATCAACTATCAAAAGTAAAAGTAATTAATAAAAGTGAGGCACACAGAGCGGATTTTTCTTTCCTAAATGAAAAAAGCTATTCCGAATTTTATTGAGGTGCTGCTGAGAACAATTTTTGGTTTTTAGATACAATGCTAGAGAACCAACCACGGTAACTCGCTTTTCTCGACAAGGCAATTGTCGCCCAGACGAAAATTTGAAAAAATTTTTTAATACATTTTGATTTTTTGTCTAATTCAAAGTTTTTTTTCGATAGTCCTATAGAATAAACTTCAGTCGGTTAATTGATTGCTTGCTCTGAGCATATCAACCATCTAATTGCATTTGTTGTCGTCTTTTTGTAGCATCTTACCGTTTTTGCTTAGGTGGAGATAGCTCAATTGGTCATTACGGTGGGGGGCGGGTGTGTGTGTGTGGGGGGGGGGGGGATTTGCTCAATTGATCCAAATGGTCAAACGCGATCGAATAAATGCGATCGACTGCGCTCTTTTCCGTTTTTCCCCAAGTTTTCAATCATTTGATTTTTTAGTTGTTTCACGGGGTATTATGGCTGAATGCGTGACGTTACGATGTAAGCTATGAAGAACAAATGTGTTCACAATAGTTAAATTGTTTCTAGCAAAATGTAATTACATTATGTTAACGTAAAAATACTTTTGCATAGTTAAAAGCAAAAAGGGGAATGGTGAAAATGCTCCTATTTTTCTTTAAGTTTTGAAAGTTCGAAAAACAAATCAGTGTTTTTTTCTGTTGACTTGCGTTCATTGACACTTTTCTAACAGTCAGTTGCCTATGTTTTTTTCATAAAATAGCCTTCGCATGTTCAACTCTGCTGCAATTTTTATATTTTCAGAACACTTTGCATTTCTACTATGCCTGAAGGAATTGTGTTACGGTGTCAGATATGCGAAACGTTTGGGCTCAGTTTAAAAAATTCTAAAACAACAATTACATCAAAGAATTGTTGTTTTTGTTTCTAAGAGAAAAACTTTATCAGATATTAGGTTTTTTATATTTTTTTTGTTTTCAGAACAAAATATAAAACTTCGATTGTTACCAAATTTTAATTTACTTGGTTTAAGTGGAGATTTTTTTTGAGTTTAATCCAATTACGCTCTCCATTAACAAGAACAAAAATGGCCGAAAAACGTCTATTATTTTGTTTTGAAAGTGAATTTTAATTTTCAAAAATATTTGTGGATTGAAAAACGTGCCAAATGACATAAAGTTTTATAAATTTGTAAAATTTTTCGAAAGAAGTTCAATCGTAAAAAATTAAAAGTCAACAAACTTTGTATTGATAATTTTTTCTCTGAGATAGGAAAACGACAAAGGTTTATTTTTGGTTTCCTTGAGTTCATTGACACGTTTTCATTGTGTAGCAAAAAAATCGGTGTTTCAAAAGTATTACGGAATAATTAAGGTTGATCTGGGTTGGGTTCAATACTTGATCCGAATAGTGTTTCACTAAAAACAAACAAGACTGCTCTTGTATCAGTGCAAACACATACATGAACTTTGTCTAAAACGATAGGAGGTAAAAGTTTATTTGATTTTGATGCGTCAATATCTTCAATGGGTGTAATGATTTTTGTCAAAACTATTTTTCCGATTGTCTAAAATTGACCGAATAAAAAAATAACTCCCAGCATAAACATTCCGCCTTCTTCGAAAAACAGTACAAATACTAACGCTTTGTACTATGAATTGGGTTGAAAGAAGATTTTCAAAACAGGTTAATCAATTGCATGAAAGTTTTATAACAAAAGTTATTACTAAAAGACCGTAATGCGATAACTCTTAACCGGCGATTGTTTGTAAAAAGCGACAATTCGTAACAGTAGATTAAGTGGGGAACAATGTATTTATTTCTGGCCTGCTCTCGTGCAGTTTTTCTCTCGTGCAGTTTTTCTCTCGTGCGGAGTGAAGCGGAGCAAGCGTACTCTACTTATCAATGCCTTGTTAGGAATTGTCGCTTGTTAAGAATTATCGCCTGTTGCGAATTTTTGCCCTGCCCTGAAAGACACTAAAATACACTTGAAACATTCAAAGTTTTGTCCTGATACGTGCTGTTTTGTTATTTGACCTGCTTTTCAAACAGTTGACACACCATCTATTAAACTTCGAAAACAATAATTATTAAAGTTCTAATAGCAGTTTTTTTAAAAGAAAAAAGACTTGTGCCCAGACGAGAAAATGAAAATGTTTTTTTTTGACAAACAACTATAGAAATGCATTGCTTGCTATAGAACAATAATAGCAAAACATGCTCAGACTTGATTTTTGAGTATAGATTTCTAGCGAGTGACTTGAAAGAATGACAAAGTTTATTTGAAGTATCTTGATCAACCCTAGGCTAGTTTTTGTATAATTGGACGTTTGCGCCAAAGTTCTTCAAGTATAAAACTGTATTTGAGGAAAAAGTGTCACCATTTGTAATATAACAAAAAAAATTTTTGATTGTTATAAAACAAATTATCAAAATTATCTTTATACATGGAAAAACCGTAGGACAAAAGTTCGATCATTGATAAACTGTCACAAAAAGTAGCCTCAAGTTTTTTTGGTGTTTCAGGTCTTCAAATTTCTATAACTAAAACAAAGTGATCATATTTTACAGCTTAAACTATTTTCTTAGCAACCATATCTGAGTACTGCTTGACCTTTTTTCCTTGATTCAATCAAAATGAAACTGATTTAGTTTGGTTTTTCTGTGAATTGAAGTCAATACAATCAAATATACTTTTTAAAAAAATTTCAGCCAAATTTGTACATTTAATATACATCGGTTGAGTACAATTTTGTCAAAACATAGTAACGGGACATAGAAGTTTCTGCCGCTTTTTCTACAACTATGGTTAAATAAGGACTGAAATAAAAATTCAAGATAAAGGAAACTGTTTATTAAAATACATCCTAAAAATGGAAATAAAAAATTAATTCAGGGCTTCGTTTAGCCATTTACTTGGAGAGCAACAGAGAACTCTGCCCACGCCCAGCCCTCTCTACATCGAAGAACAGATTTTATTTGTACCGAACTAAATGAAAAACGAATTAAACACTTTCATGGACAACTAGCCATCTGAGTGAAATTTTTGGGGGTTATAGATTGCCAATTTAGCCGATTTGGGACAACGAACACGCTATATATTTCGCTATACACGCTATAGATTTAATACAGATTTAATACGAGGCCATACATATTTAAATTATCCGGATGAACCAAGCAGCAATGGAAACTTTAAACGTTTTTTTTTCTCAAGGTGGGTCGAGATTGGACAAAAAAGGAATAATAAATGCTTAGAAGTCTACCAAAATTATCACAGTGCAATTTATTTTGCGCAATTCAAACCAAAGTTTTACCCCAAAAATTGGTCAAATCAAATTTGCTTAGTTAAGCAAAAATAACGCTAAAACTACCGACTTCAAGGATCAGAAATTGTTATCAATCAAAAATAAGTTATCTTATATAGATTTTTGGAAATTATAAGACATTCTAGAATTTGTTGGTTTGTGTAGAAGGTTTCTTCTAATCTAGTTTTCTATCAACCGAAAATTGGTTGTCTTATGCAGATTTTGATTTGGTGGCCTGGTAGGAGGCTTCTTTTGATCTAATTTTCTTATCATTTAGGTCATTAGGTATTGTTGGAAGGCTAAGAATTGGAAGTCTTTAACTTTATCTCTCCTGCTGCAAAAGGGCGGAATCGTTCCTGGGTATAAAATTCTGATGTGCTTAACCGTTGATTTCTTTCTGTTTAGGGAGGACATTTGTTACTGGGTACCCGAGGGGGTAATATAGTTAAAGAGATCCTAACGATCTCAGCTAGGCCCTCTTAGAGGTTTCTTTTTCATGAAAAAAATGCCTCATCTTTTTTTAAAAAAATCAATGTTTGCATATATATTGAATTTTTTGACAATTTGAAATTCTCACTTAAAGATGAGAACATGGAATTTTTTAATACCTTTACTGCTTTTGAAAATTGTTTTCTCATTTTGTGTGTTTGTAGGGGATTTGGATGCTAACTTGAACAGAACCGAGCTTCGAATCGACGATAGAAGAGTGTACCTCAAGTCACCATCCGAGAACAGGACGTTCGTGGATCTCGGCATCTTCCTGGACTTCGATCTTCGCTATGTCAAGTTCCTCGGGTCTGGAGGTCAAGGCGAAGTTCATCAGGTTGCTGATGGAAATACAAGGTCACAGTATGCGCTGAAGATCATCAAGCAAAACTCAGCTGCGAAGAAATATGAAAAAGAGGCTTTAGAAGTTATAAAGCAACACAGTCACTCTGGAATTATTCATCTAGAATGCGCACTTGAAGATGAAGATTTTCTCTATCTATTGACACAGTTTGTTGAAGGCCTTACAGTGCGTGATATTATTCCATATATGGAACAGTTTTCATGGGACCGGAAACGGGAGTTTGTCATTCCACTTTTGGCTGAATTATGCTTAGCAATTGACTATTTGCATCAATTAGGCTATGTTCACAGAGACATAAAAGCTAGTAACTGTTTTCTTGACATGTGTGGTCACGTGACAATTGGTGATTTTGGATCTTGTATACAGAAAAGTTTGATCAAAGCCAGGGTTATTTTCGGAACTGTGCCTTATACAATTTCGCCCGAGATGTTTTGCAAAGTGCCTTACGGAACTGAAGCGGACTATTGGGGTATTGGGGTTCTGGCGTGCGAACTCTTGCTTGGGTTTTTCCCGTTTGACTGGTTCACGAGAGATGAAATCAAGTCACGTGAGACCGTAAATGACGTCATTCAGACCATCCGGTCTCCTCAAATCCCTGCGGACGTTCCAGAAGATGTGCAACAGGTACTTTATGCGTTCCTCGCCGCGGATCCGAAACGCCGTCTCGGAAGTCCGACAATAGGTGGAATCGAAAGCATCGAGCGACATCCGTTTTTCAACGGGATCCACTGGAACAGATTCCGGGATCCTACTTATAGGAAACATTCGCTTCCTGTTCTAAAACTCATGAAAGCAATTCAGAGAAAGAAAGCAGCCAAAGCTGCCCAAGCTGCTCAGCAAGCTGCCAATTCGACCCAAAACGAGAACCCACCAAATATTCCGAATATACCCAGTCAGCATCCAGTGTATGATCGGGCGCTGGCTAATCACAACTTGGTTAAAAACGAAAACCCGAATCACAATTTCCGACCTGTTAATCACCAATCAGGCGGAGACATCGGGTAGTCCAGAAACGAAGTTTTATCTTCTCGTTTTTCTTCGTTTCATTCGTTCTCGAGTTCGGCTGAAGTACTTTAAACATACACCTTCAACATTTCTTAGAAAACTGTGCAATACAACGTAATTATTCAACATTCGTTTCAAGACCGCGCTTAAATTATTATATGTAAAACGGGCAGTTTATTTCAAAATTTAGCATAGGTATCTTGAACATGAAAACTGCTATCTGATATTATTATACCAGCAATACTGTGGTTATATATTAGTCTATATATATCTAATGTTGAGCGGCTATAGTTTGCAGTAAATTTGACCCAATTGAAACTAACCGGAACGAAGAATTCATTTTTGCACACCAACTTTTCATGCAAAAAACGGTGTAACGTTCAATTAAAGGTTTTTTTTCCAAACTAGCATGCAACAAAACTATTGGTGGTAGCGCATCGTAAAAATTCATAATGAGCTCATAGAATTGAATGATTCAGTCGTTGCACCATTTTCGGATAACTTTAGCAGAGTCTATTTCGTCATGACCTGAAGACGATCCAAAAGTTGAAATGTAACATCATAACATCACATGACTGTATTTGTCATTTTGTCTTATCTCGAAACCCAAACAAAGCGCCTCACATCATTAAAGCTAGTAAGCTCTAGGAGATTAAGAACGCTACATTTTGAAGACTCTAAATGGTCAAAAATAATTTGATACAGAAAAATACATTTAAAAGTTTAGAACTGCTTTATTGCAAAAAATTCTAACCAATTTTTACGACGATTTAAATTTTTAGTTGATAGCGAAAAGTTCTTCTCAAATTTCGGTTCCCTTTTGAAACTGATTGAGTAAAACTTGATCAGATGATAAGAGCTATTTTTTTGGTGTTTTTGATAGAGGGTCTTCTTTTTGGCCCCCAAACGTCGTACAGTCGTATGTACGAGCACGAGGGTGGGAGGTACAAGGAAGGACTGACCTATCTGGTGAAACTGAACCTGAGGGATGCGTGGGATGAGTCCACTGTAGTTCTGGACGACATTCAGTATAAACTGAAGGCAGCCATGGATGCGAGTGATTCTCATTTTGGTGCAATGACTCACAAAGCTGAAAGAGTAAGTTATTGTACCAAGTTTTTGGTAGGAAAAAATTATCTCTCAGGTAAGAAAACTACAATTAATATTTTGTTTTAATATAATTTAATGCTCATGCAATACAGTTACTGTTTCGGTCCAAAATTTACTGACAAATCACTTTTTCAGCGCTTATGATTGATAAAAAATAATTGACTTAAGTTTTCCATGGCGAGAAAAATTTATCTTTAATAAATAATGAATCATCGATTAAATTGTTAATATTAATTAATTTTTTTAAGGAATCAGCGATGATTATTTCTGAGAGGTCATAATATGCTCGTTATGTTTTGTTTTCAGATTGTGCAGGAACATGATGCACTCGCTAGTGGCTTGAATTCTACCAATATTGAGGATAGCAAAACTAACCTCACTGAAAGCGTTCAAAAATATTGCGAAAAAATCACTGACAGCTGCACAGATGAGAAGGGCCGCCGCGACGACGTCAAAGACTGGGCTAAGAAACTCGATCTTTCAACAGTCCTCGATGAAATAAGGAAAAACATTACAGATTATAAACACAAAAAAGAAGGAATGGACAAAACTATCGGAATACTGAAAGCTGAAATTGAAACAGCGTCTAAAACGTTGAAGCATTTAGTTGACGCCGCAACAAACCAAAAACATATTTCAAAGATCATCAATGAAAACGCGATTTCATTCGATCAAGTTCTAAAGTCGATTGAAAATGCTGACATTCGCAAACTAGTGCTGCAGACGGACATTGAGCAAACTATCCAAGAAATACAAAAATCTGCTGACGCTGCTTCGTCTTTTTTGAAAAAGGTACAGATTTTTCAAATATCAGATTTACTATTAAATGTATTTGACTCCAGAATTTCTCAGCAATTTTATTTGTTTAAGTTTTGATCAAATAAGGATCAGATAGTGCCAATAAGATCGGTAAATTATTAGGGAATTATAACCACCGTTTTTTGTGTTAGAACCAACAAAATACACCTGGAAGCAGTTTGGCTTGTCTTATGTTTCAAAATGGCGACATTTTAGTTGGAATCGGGCTTGGGACTGAGTAGACGTCGCCGTTCTTCTGAATCTCACACGGAATGGGACTGCAAAGGAAACTGGAAAGATTTCTGCAATAAGAATGCAGTGGAAATACCAACAAAAGATTTCAATGACACATTCCGCACAGTCAGTCATAATCCTTTACAGACTTTTGGTTGTTTTTCTGTTAATTTCATTCTGCATTCCTGGGGACCAAACAGATCTCATGGCCTGTTAATATCAGGTCTGTTTTTTTACTGCTCCGACTAAGAAGTGGTAGGAATAATTTTCTCTGGGTGTGTCCACGCAAAATCAGGTGTCACAAAGATTGTCAGATGGGAGCAAGTTATATATTGTTTGAAGCAACTTCGACCGTTATTCTATCGCTGTTAACAAATCATAAGAATTTTTCAGAAAATACAATTAGAAACAATACAATTTGAGCTCAACTTAGAACAAATAATGCGACCTGGTATAGCTAAAATATGTTAATTTACCTATTAAAAATTTTTGTTAGTTGCAAAACATAATTCTGTTATCATTCGATTGCTATCATTCGAAAAACATCTAATTTTATTGTCACATCTTAATAAAAAAGGACTAAAATAAGAATTTCTGTATTTTTTTTTGATCGAAATGATAAAAGAGGTACAATCAAACGACTCAAACTACAATAGTTTTTTCTGAACTAACTAAAAAGTGAATTTTATAATCATCATTTTTTGCTGAAAATTTCAATCATAAGGCAGTAATATTAAAACTTAAAAGTTACTTTTGGGTGGATACACAATACAGCTAACACAAGATTTGATTTGGCTCAAAAAATACTTGTCGTGTTTTCAATTTTTTCTTTCACAATTTTTCTCATAAAATGTTAGTTTCTCTAGGTTTTTTGCTGGTCTTTAATTTCTCTCCCGAATCCAATTTATCTCTCCTTCTGTCTTCCCTTGTCGTCCCATCGGAGGCGGGGTAATGGGCGGGAGTTGGGTTAACGGGAGATGGGTGGCAACTGGGGTGGGTCAACGGGGAGAACTTAGTCACAAGGTAGGGGGGGGGGGGGTTGGGTAAAACATCATGGGGAAGCATAGACTGAAGGAGTTGGTGAAAGTTGAAAGTGTACGGAGAAAATAGATGGCAGGGGGTTTAATTGCTTAGATGGGCTTTCTAAAAATGAAGTTTAAAATTCGAGTAGGCCGTAATGGATTGTAAATGGATTATAATCCATTATAATGGATTTTGCTGGATTGAAGTTTTACGAAATTAATCATTTATATTGACAAAATAACCGAGTTTGTGGTCTAAAATTGCAACAAGGATGGATTATAATTCCAATTTTTAAGACAACTTTGCTTTTATCCATGAAAGTCCGGTGCGGGACAACACTTCGCCCATGAGCTCTCTTAAGCTCTCTCAAAATCGATACAAAACAATACTTGTGCCATAGTTCTTTCTTTACCATTGGGATTTTCAGAACAAAAAACTTTGATATAAGGCTCAAGCGAAACGGAACTGAACACTCAAAACTACTGAATCTGGAAAATTTCTTTAACAAAAATTTTCTTTTTAATTTTTTGAACCAAGCACTAAAAAATTGAAAAAAAAACAAACAGCCGAACATACTGTTCAAATTCTTTGAAACATTTTGAAATTTCAACCAAATCAAAAACTCAAAAATCAGAGAAAATGAATCATAAAATAAATAAACCAATTAAAAATAAACATAGGAGGCCAAAAAATATCTGAAATTTTTTCTTAACCATAGTTTTTTCAACAACGTTCTGTTTTCTTGAAGATAAAAATGAATATTTTTTTTCAGTAAATTTTGCGGTCGAATTTATCGAAGCCATTTATACAGCTCCTGTTTTAATTGTAGCAACCCAAAAAAAAGAAAAAATGACTGTCTTTTTCTTAACGTCGAAGTGGTTGAAAGGTGAAAATCAAGCAACTCTTTTAATTGTTTTTTAGTCTGAACTACCTAAATACAGCTGGAATTGATTACTAGCTTTATAGAAGTATCAAAATTTAATGCAAACACTTCAAGAAACAGCTAAACTCTCTTTATTACTAAATTTTTTGATCATTCCTCGATTGAATTAGGGAAAAATTTACAGATTATACACACAAAAATAAAGGAATGAAGAAAACAATCAGAATAATGGATGCTGAAAATTAAATAGCGTCTGAGACATTGAAGCTTTCAGTTGACGCCGCTACCAGCCAAACGCATTTTTCAAAGATTATCAATGACATCGCAAGTTCATTTCGTGAAGTCGACTAAAACCGATGACTTTTGCAAACAGATCCTGCAGAGGGACATCGAGAATACAATCTAAGATTTACAAAAATCTGATGGCGCAGCTTCGTTTCTTTTTTGAAAAAAGTACAGATTTTTCAGAAAAATTCAAATTTATTTTGAATTCCGAATTTTCCCTGCAACTTAACTTGTTCCCACAAGTTTTGTAGCATTTTGATCAAACAAGGACCAGACAATGCCATTAAGTTTGGTACATTATGATGAATTTAATGTTCAGGTCTAGGCCAAGATCTTTACTAGGTTTTAATTTGGTCCGTATTGCGTCATACCTTTTTCATACAAATTAAAGTATTTGATTTTCAAACAATTTCATACACACCAAACTAAAACAAAAATTTGAACATCGCAATCAAAACCAGTAGTGGTACTTTAGGTTATTTCATACATTCTGATCCTTTAGTTTTTTTACAACTATTGGTTGATTTTGTGTGGTCATTTTATTTTGCTAGAAAATGTAAATCACGCAAATCATGCAAAGAAAGATATGTATTTTAACAGACCATTCATTGATCCAATCATCTATACAATTCATTGAGATATGTTTCAAAACGTATCAAGTTTTTCGCCCAAGAAAATGTTACGGGGTATCATGGAAGAGTAATTAACTTTGCATTCGAAGAAAAACTCATGCTAAAGCTTATGAAGCAAATGATCATTAGAAATTGAAACTTCTAAGACACACAATTGTAAATATCTGATTACATTTGTATCAAAAAATTGATTGAAACGTTAAAAAAATTCAAATTTAAGAAAAACTCATCAAATCAGTTTTAATTTCATTTGTTTTCACATTGAAATGACAAATTTTGTAGCTTCCACGGGCAACCAAAGAACTAAATTTAGGCTTGGTAAAGTCAGTTTAGGTTTGTGGTGCGACTAGGGAGTCCCACAGGTTTTTGTCATCAGGTGTTTTCAGTTCGTTCACATATTTTTTGGCCGAATTCTCAAAAAAATGTGAGATGAGAAAGTGATTTATCAGAATAAAAAGGTAATTATATTGATTAAAAAGTCAAAAAGTTTCAAAAAATTGGTTTGAAATTTTAGTGTGCAATGCGATAGAGAAGATTAAACACCAATTACTTAAGCAGCAAGAAAACATTAAATGTAGTTATATAAACTAATTATAGATTCTTTTTTGGCCTTTCCAAAAAAGGGAATGTTCCAAAAAATACAAAAATATTTTAAAGAATGATGGTAGAATTTTTTTGGGCTTTTTTTGTATTTACACAACTAAAAAAAGCATAATTTTGTACGTATTGTCAATTATCAGTTTCTTACATTTTTAATTACTTGATTTGTTATATTTTAAATACTTTAATTTTATATCTTTCATTTTTTTGAGATATTTCAAAAACTCGATCAAGCAAATAGTGGCAATGAAAGTAATTTTATACGTTTGGATTTTTCTTACAAAAGTAATTTGGCCGAATTTAAATGGTCAAAATTAAAGAGGTCAAATTATTGTTTGCTTTTTTATACAACTTATTTTGCTAATAGAGTGCAATTTACGCTCTTTGAAATCAAACACAGAATCATTGACAGATTAAAAAAAAAGCATGATTTTTAACGAATAAGACAACCGCAACGAGAAAGATTGAAATTTACAATTTTTTTATGAAACTTGTTTAACGCGAGTTATTGAAGCCATTTGAACTGCTCTTGCTCTATGTTTGTATATTCAAAGAGTGAAAAAAAAAATTTCCATCACAACCGTTCTCTTATTTTTTTTCAGCTCATTGGGTATCGGCGTTTTACTCTGTAGAATTATTTGCCTGATTTTTTTTTCAATTAATGTTATGGTTTTTCTGTAGGTTCAAAACAAGACAACCACTGTATCGACGTCTTTGGGAAAAAATTCAAAAACTGTTCTTGTTCTCTGCCTTTTTCTATCATCTCCGGATGCAAAAAAAATACATTTTGAGTTCGTTTCAGTTTATATCATCCCCGGATGTAATTTATTGCACTATTTTTATCGCGGTGTTATTTTATCTTTTTGCGAACCGATTAAAATTTCTGCTAGTACATGGATCCTTTCAATAAAGCTTGGCACTGCTTGGTGCATAAATAACGGTTGCGTTGCACTTTTAGACCTTTTAGGGTTGATTAGCTTTTGGTGTAACTTAATTACTTTCGCAGTTTTAAGCAAAATCTGAATCTGCTAATGATATAAACTGAAGCGTGATATAACAGTAACAAAAAGTGAATTTTGCCGAAAGTAGTGCAAAAGGGTAGCAGCGACAAGAGATACACCGTGGCTTTGACATCATAGGAATGCAGTACTTGCTCCTAACAGTTTTTTGCCTTATTATGGATGGTTATAGCGCACGATGAAAAATTTAACTCTTAGTAAAGGGTTAATTTTATAGACCGTCTCCAAAATTTCGCATTGGGTTTTTTTTCTATACGCGGATGATCATGGTTTTTTTGTTGCCTAAGAAATATTTCAAACATACCGCTCGTCAAGAAAAAAAAAATTTTGTTTTCTGGCTTTCTAAACTGTGATTGCACTCTAGACTGCCCGGAACTTTAACCATTCTTTAAGTCCTTTCTGATTAAGACCAATAATCGAACTGAAACTTCTTGCCCTAAACTGTTATTCCGTTTTTAGAATCTGAGGTTTTTAGTATCTGATCAAAGTTTTTTTAGACTAGGGATAACTTTGATTGGAAAAAACAGTCTTAACTTTGTAGAGTCCTTCGTGTCCACTTTAAAAAACTTCAACAAAAGAATATGTGCAAAAAAATTGTTTCAAAACAAACGTTCAATTTTCTTTTGTTTTGAAAAATACGTCTAATTATAAAACTGCAGAGAATGGCTTGAAAAAATGCTTTGGCTTCTGCATTATTTGTTTTCTGAAATGCAACGTATAAGAAACCGAAACCGTTGACTGTGATTAATTTATCTATTGTTTTTAGTGAACAGCTTCTGTTTAGCATGAAATACGATCATTGAATTTTGTCAAGTATTTTTTCTTTAATTTTTACAGGAATTTGTCTACCCTTGCACTAAGCGAAGGTTATATGATCTGACATTAGAACTTTTTCTCATAAAAATTTTCGTCACAGGATAGCTAAAATTAGGAAAAGTAAAATTTGAATGCACCATCATAACAGTACTGCCTAAGTAAGGACCAAGCTTGCATTGTATTTGGTGCAAAAAAAAAACATTTTACAAGGTGATTTTTCTGCAAAAAACTGGTTGGTTTATAGTTGACCCATTGTCGGTTTTATTTCTGTCGGCTTACTTAACTAACGTTTAACGTTAATCACGCTTTTTGATATTTATTTGAAGCCTCTTTAGTCGTGATTCAAGAAAATTTGAATTTGAATTTTTTTCTGGTTTTGAGAAAAATGGTTTTCGTTTTTCCTCTGTTTTCGATCAAGTACAGCAATCGAGTAACCTTTGTTGTATATTAAAATTAGCAATTTTGACTAAAACACCTAATTTTATCTGAGGAAAATTAGTTTTTGAAGTTCCATTTAGCTCTTTTCTGGCAAAAAAAAACATTCAATTTTACTTAGAACTTTTGGTGCAAAAAATTGAACATTACTAGGCCAATTCGTGCACTGGATAGGCGCACAGTTTTATGTCTGCATGTTCCTCGTTTCCAGAGACACTTCTTTAAATTTGCTCCGAAATAAAAATGGATTCCAATGACAAAATTGCCTTGGGATTCCGCGCACAAATACTGGTAACGTAAATTTTATCGGCACAGTAGTTTTGTTGCGGATTACGCAACGAGGGGTTATAGGTAGTTGTTCCCGATTCCGTAAATGTAAGCATTTCGCAAATGTAAGTGGAATCTCCACTTACAGTTGCGGATTCCACGACAGCTCAGATTTACCGAGCACATATAAAGTTATTTGTTTATGGATTCCACGAACTGATTCGGATTCGGCAAACTATGTTGCGGATTCCACAAGTTTTGTTGCGGATTCCGCAAAGTTGACTGTTTTTGGAGCGATTTTGTGCTAAGCAGTGTTTTAGCTATTTGTCCGTGGAATCCAAAACAGCGAAAAAGTTCAAAGAAATATTGCAAAGCTAGGGATTCTGCAACAAATCTGATTTTTTCGGCCTGTTTTTGAATCCGCCGACAGTTCACAAAATGCACAATTCGGGCTCGTAGTGCAAAAATTGAAAAAAGTTTGACGCAAAAAATAAACTATTTTGAATATATATTTTTTGAGAATGTGGTCGGAACATTCTGTGCTACTTGCACAGCAACAGTCTATCCTTGTTTGTTTATGAGTTTTGTTAATTAAAAAAACCTTACTGAGAAATAAAAACCGGGACTTGTGTTTTGAGTGCGCTGGAAATGTTTAAAAATCTATCGAAATATCATTGCCAAAACGCCTAGTTGTCGCCAAGATATTTGTTTAGCGTTAAAGGTGTCTTCGGTTCAAAAGGTTTCGGTTTGACTTATCAAATTATTTAATCATTTTACGTCCTGTTAAGAGCGAGTTTAGACATTTATCCGTTGTTGTGCATCAGAGATAAGATAAAAAAGGAATTTCAAAAACAATCAAATTTTTTAAGTTCCTAATGACCATTCTATCTATTCAAAAGGCGTCTCCCAAGTTTCGCCCGCATATTTCGATAAATTTCTTAAAGTTGTTGCCAATTTAGCGCCGGCAATCCTGCTCTGCTACAGGTTTTCATCAACTGAGTAGAAAATAAGATAAACGTATGAATTAACTTTTTGGTGATGTTTTTTCGTTTTTTTTTCATTTAAACAGGCTAGAAGCTATTCTAAGTTGGTTTTGTACCGAAAATTGTACTCGGCTTTGACTTTAATTTTAAAATAATGCAGAATTTTTGCCCAGCCTATGACAACCTTGAAGCTTCAGATCATTAAGGAAGCTCATTTGCCTTTAATATCGGGCAGGGGCGGATTTAGGGGGGGAGGGCGGGGGGCGGACGCCCCCCCTCCCCCTCAGGGATTCGACCCCTGCCGACCCAAAGGGTCCCCCCTTTGATACTTTTTCAGAAATCCATTTTTGGCGGACCGACCCTAAAATTTTTCTAAAGGCGCCTTGGGCGCCAATATATACTAACTTTGAGGGGGAGCGCGCGCCAAAAAAAAACGCAATTTTTTTTGTCAAAATTTTTCAAAAAGTGCCCAAAAATAGGCGCAAAACAATGCTTTGGGAGAGCTCGAAAAATCAATTTGGTCGACCTAAAAAAAAAAAAAGGTCGTCAAAATTTTGGAAAATCCGCCCCCCCCCCCTCGAGAAAATCCTAGATCCGCTCCTGATATCGGGTGCATGACATGGGTTAAAGGGATCGAACGACTCCCAATTAAAGTAAGTTGCTGTTTCGAAAAAAAACTAACTAAAGGATCTCTTTGGACGCTGAATGGCCCAAAATTTGTGTATTTTTGTACACGATGTTTGTTTAGGTTTTCGAGGAATTCCAAAGCTTGTATGCGTCGTTTTCGGACGATTCTAATAGCTACATCGACATTTTTTCCAACTTTTCCCACGCTTCGAATCTCTACGATACAATTCTTTGCAACTACACTGAGAAAATAATGTGGTTGGAAATGCTCAAATTTGACAACACAGACAAACCCAATCTGAACATTTCATCCGTCAAATTCGATCCTTCAAAATATTCAATCGACTCTAAAACAAAAAACCTTCTGTACAGAAACGTGGAAGTCAAAATCGAAGGCCTCAAATACGTCGATTCACTCACAATTCCTGCAGTGAATGTTCACAGGTATGGAGAGATTGACGCTGTGATTGGTGAACATATTCGAAAAGAGTTGGAGAAAGCAGCTTGCGGAGACGAATCTTTTGAGCTGTTGAAAATGGTGGTCAAGGAAAGCGACGCTTGCCCAGAGTTATGCAAAAAATAACTTTTTGTGGACTTCAAAACCCGTTCTAATTTTTTATTTATTGATTGATCATCACAATGTGTAGCAAGGGTAACTACACTAGAAAGGTACAGAATATGCAAAGTACAAAAAGGAATTTATGATTACATATTAGTTACCGTTATCAAAATTGTGTATACTACTGAATAAACGTATTAAACAAAACTGTTTCAAAATTTACTTTTCAACTGCGTCATTGAACCATCCATGATTTTACCTGCCGATAAACAACTAAGGCCAAGTAATATATCATATCGAAGCCTATTCAACCTGATTTGTTTTTTTCTTTAAATAGTGAAACTTTTTTGATGATGTCAAGAAAAAGCGGTCTGAAAAAATTTCAAATTAACATGACTTAGTTGAAGAGGCATTTAATTATTATCAAATAGGCAGGCATATTCATTATATTCAGGTATAACCTTTCAAAGCCTAGGCTTATTCTATCTTCACATTGCTCTCCGATGGTTCAATTTTTAAAATTTGTTCTTTCGTTTTTAATTAATAAAACAAACGAAATGAAGGTAACTTTTAGGTCATGTTAATTTTTTTTCAATGAATATAGTTTTTAAGTGGTTTGACTTTGATTTATTTTTAATTTTTCATTGAAAATTGTTCGCCAAAAGGTAGAGATATTACGATGTGCACTGACAAAAATTCAAATCAAGCAAAAACGTGGTTGACATTTTGGTGCGAAAGTGAACGTTTATTTCTCAACGAAACAGAAATCTTTTCATGTTTTCCAGCTCACTTAACAAGATGCAAACCGAATTTTTTTTTTTCAATTTTAATGAACTTTAGGCTGAGATGTTTCTTCTTTGTGTCTCCTTGAGTCCATTGATATTTGTCTTAATGTTTTATGGACGATTTAATTTTCTTCTCATAAAATTTATATTCACAAAACTTTGTGCTTTTTTGTATAGAAGCCAGCAACTTTTTCTGTTTTTTTAGTTCGTAAAGGTTTTTTTTCAGTTTTTTTTTAAAGTTTTTTTCAACTTTTTCCGCCGTTTGATTATTAAAAAAAATTGTGGTTTGGAATTAGCAAAATTTAACAAATCAAAACAACCGGTTACTGTGCAAGTGGCACAGAATGCTCCGATCATATCCTTAAAAAGCGACAAATTTTTTAAAAAATTTTTCAATTTTTTGTGCGTGGTATGAAGAAAAGACTAGACATAAGGCTTTTCCGATGTTCAAAGTAATATGCACCTATTGGATGCTAGTTCGTTTTTTGAAAAATGACTAATAAAAAGAACAAAAAAATTCAAATTTTTCAAGTGTTATCTTTTTCAAAGTTTTTCTTCATAAAGATGTTTTTTTTATTTTCAAAATCTTTTAAGTGCTTGAATAAAAAAATGCATGACCTAGTTTATTTCTATTCTGCGTCTATCTTTCAAAAAAATGCCACATTTTATTCGCTCTAAATGAGACGAAAAATCAAAAATTTTAAAGCGGTTTTTCTTGGCAGAGGGAAACTTTTTTTTTCTAATTTTTTTGAGGTCGTTCGAATCATCAACAAAAAGACTTTAATGTTATATATCACTCTATCTGATGATTGTTTGTGGTACCTGATTTCGGTTGGGAACCAAATGAAGTAAAAAAAGAAAAAAAATCAAAACACACCCGAACAGAAAATTCCTCCCCATTTTCATTGGTCGAAATAACAAAGCTTTTTTTTCCAGGTTATCCGAACTACTAAATGAGTCCTTGAACATACTCGTCAAAAAAAATTTCAGTTCATTTGGTCAAGTAAGATACAAACTCTTTTGAAGTTTGTGTTTTGAAATAACTGTAAAAAAATAGATTTTGTGCTTCTGTAATCAGAGTATATCATTTTATTTTTGCGAAACATTTTGAAAGCTTGAGCTGTTTCGGTTTTCGTTTCATTAACTTGACCACCGCAAATTGTGTCATTTCAAGAGCAAAAATTTTCTTTTGAATGCATGTTCGAGAGTTTTATTATTTTGAAGTTGTTTCGAGGTTCAAAGATTATTGGAAAGTTTTCGAAAAACACAGTAATCTTATTGAAAAAATTTCTCTTAATTGACTTTCGAAAATAGATGCTTTTTGTTTATACATCATTCATCAAAGAACTGTGATTAAAGTTGTACTTGATAGTCGTAGCTCAAGGATCATGATACACGGCCCAAACGACACTTTTTGTAACTTTTTTCTAACAGATAAATTAAAAACAGAAATTTTTTAGAGGTAAAGTAACAGCATTAATCAGACAATAAGCTAGGATTTTTTCCGAGGATTTAAATTTTTGAATGGCTTTCAAGGTTTTGTCAACATCTTTTCAAATCAATTTACAAAAGCAAAACAGATTTTTCTAGTTTTAAGAATACACTGAAAATCTTATAGAATTAATTTTTTGTCTTCTCTTTCAAATTTTAAAAAAGATAAATACAGCACGAAAAGCTTTGATTACAAAATTTCTGATTTCTAATCCGTATGCTGTGTGATTAGATTCCACCTGACATATACGTCGGACTGCAAGTCCGACCTCTAAATATAACCTCTTTCATCCTTCTGATTTTCAACAAATCGCACTTTTCCAAAAAAAAAATTAAAAAACCAGATAATTTATACATTTCATTTTTGTTTGCAAAAATGCTAAATGTTTAACAAGACTATTTTGGGCTCAGTAAATTTACTATGACTGCTTCTGGTTGTTAAAAACCGGCGTTTTTTAAAAAGATATTTTGAAAGCAAAACATTTTTTCCATACTTTTATATGATTCTTTTTATTCAAGTCCTTCACACATAAAGGCTACTTAGTTTTTGTGCTAGGTTGTTCAATTCACTTGTGTTGTCTCTTACGATGAGTGAAAAAAGAAAGTAATAGAAAAATTTTGAAGTAGAACATGCAGTTAATCGTTTTTTTAAATCATTGCTTACTATTGTATTTCAAATTATCCTTGGTAAGCAAAATTAAGGCTTAGATTATGCCATCTCTGTATACCCATCACTGCTGAGTTGACTAACCGACTTGACGAGTTTCAACTGATGTGACTACAAAATGGGCAAGTTTTGATCGCCTGAACTTTCTACATAAAAATTTTTTTCCGAGTTCCGAGTTGACTCAGATGTTTACCTCTGCAATTTGTTCAAACAAAAAATTTTGTCAGAAATTTTGGGAGTCCTCGACCTCTATTTTGAATGTGTTCGACCTATGGTTTGACTGTGCACGACCTTTTTTCAACTTTATTCACAAAAAAAGGAGATGCTTCGACTGTGCTTGACCTATGTTTTGACTTTTTCGACAATTAAATCAGTTGTTTAAATTGAAAAACCTTTTTTGTTTGCTTTTCAGCTAAACTTTTGCAATAATGATTGAATTGAATATAAACTATCAAAATCAGCAAAATGTGAAGTTCCGCCATCGCAAAAAAGTTTTGATTGAAAAATTTGCTTTTCTTTTACATTACAAAACCGGACTAAAACTGTTGATCTGAAACTGGTATTAAAAAAAAAACATTATTGTAGACATTTTACTTCTTCTTGCCGCATGAACCCTGAAATCTCGAAAACGTTAAGGATTCCATCTGAAACTTAGTTTTGCGGGAAGCAGATCACCTCAATGCTTGTGGCTGATTGCAGCTTTCTGTCAGATGTTTTTCTGAGCAGATTAATTTTTTGCTCAGTTTCCAACTTAAATTTAGCAAGGGTAATTAAAATTTTCAAAATATTTTTTAAAATTTAAAATTATGAATCGGGTGCTTCGGTTTTGTGCTTGATTTAAAATAGTTTCGTGACCGCATATTTTCAGCCGAAAAACTGCACCGTCTCATCTTTTAAAATCGAAACATAAGTGGAGCACCTCGACACCGGAAAAAAAATGATTATATCCTATATTTTGGCTAATATAATCATCACACAAATAAACATTTTTTAAGAAAACTGCAGTCCTGAACCTAGGTCAATCCGTAATTCAAAACAAATTCAAGCTTTACTTCTTAGCCAGAGATGATGGAAAAGACATGGTGAAATGGTGATACTTATTTTGAGCACGCTCTTCTCAGCAAGCCTCTTGCCTTAATCTTTTCTTTTCGTTATTTCCAAAATTGGCGATGAGCTTTGAGTACTTGATTATTTACTCAAGTTTCACCAAAAATTAACAAGACTGCTCGAATCAGAGCGAAGCTCGGAACGTTCCGACTGCCTTTTAAGGTCTATGTAGCAGTAATAACAAAAAAAAATTAAATGTTAAAAAAACTATTTTCTATAAAATTTGAGATCTTTCGTGAAAATCATCCCTCCACATACCATATAAAGTACAAATTGATAAATTTCGCTCCTATTAACAAATCAGTTATGAAAATTACGCTTCGTTCAACCAATTTCAACTCTTTCTAAGACGGATTAAGTCTCCGCCAACGCATTAAAAGCGCGAAATTGATCGCGCGTTAATTGTCACAAATTGGCCACAATCGCAATGTTTAAGCCCATATAACTTTATAAAAAGGGATCACAGGTGAAATATCTTTTCAAATTTAAGCTCAGGGCAACAATACTTTTTCAATGATTATATTAAAAAGTTCTGTCAAAAATGGCTAGTTAAAAAGTCGATTTTTCTCTGAAAAAAAACACCCACCACAAGCACAAACATTCCGTTACTTTCGTTACGAAAGTCGGAACAAAAAACGCTGCGGATGCATGATTAAAATGTTGCTTATTGGTAATTTTGATAAATGTATTATCGAAAATAGAAAAATATTTTATCTAGATCGTTTTCTGAAAAAAAAAATACAAACTAGAGAATCGCAGTTCATATTTTCGCAACAGACTAGCTGACTTCCGATAGTCTTCGAAAGTGAACCAAAAAAATACGTCCTAAAAAGATATTCGAACTGGTTTCGCCAATCGTTTTCGGATCTTCCCCGATAGAAGATATCGCACCATTTTGAAAATATCTGACCATATACAACGTCTTAAAGCATCGGTAAATTTAACTTGAATATAAATCGTTGTAGTTTTATATATATCTATCGAAATTTCATTCTATTTTTTTTCAGAACTGCCCTTAATCAAAGTGCGAAACACTGATTTTATTTTCAAAAACTGATGAAACTAACACTGATTAAACCAGATTGAGCTTTTGGATCGGACTTTAATAAAACCTCTTTGTCATCCAAAGAAGCACCTTTGATTTTATACGCA